GTTTTGAATTGTCATTCATTTTCATGTAAGGCACCAACTCATTCTTACTGCAGACATAACTACAGCAGGAAAGCGGCAGAACTAACGCAGAACTACAGAAGCTTTGGGACATTTGCTTTCTCAAAAGTCCTTTCATCATTTGTGGAGCGCTGTCCGGTTTTGGTCAGGAAAATCTATAAAACCATATTTCAAAAATATCGTGAGTTTTACCGAGGTTAATTGTTTGTCTTGTTTTGTTTGGCCATCCCTCAAAAGCCCAAGAAATGTTTAACAACATAAAAGAGTCCGAAAACATCAAGAGATTAAATTAATATACATTATCAGTCAAAAGTTTGGACACATTCATTCAATTTATTGAAAGTGTCCAAAAAGTGTGTCCAACCTTTTGACTGGAACTGTATTTTCCGGTCGATGATCAACTAATTATTTTCTCCTCATGCAATACAGTTTGAGAATAAAATACAAATTTATTTTGTTGGTCGCCCTTTTGTTTTAAAGAAAATATATATACACACTATATATTGTGTTTTATATATAAAACACAAACCACAGACTTTAACATATATTATCTCATCAGCTGATCGTGTGACTGTAAGGTGAGACCAACGAGAGGAGCTCTGGAAAGTAGAGCGTAAAATAAGAGGAGAGCAATGGAGGAGGTGGCGGAGATGATGATGGAAGTGCACATTAGAAAGAGACAAAGGATTTATTCACTACACAGTAGGTCACGGAAGTCTGCCGGCATAACATTGGGTTGTACTTGGAGATTATACAGCTTCTGGAAAAAAACACACGTGCACACCGACAGGCTGCCGCTGACATCTGTGTGACACTGTAACACGTCGCTTCAGGAAGAAGTAACAGATTTCAGCATGAAGAAGATGTGGAAATCAGTCCGTTTACAGTGTTTGTATGAATGGAGGAGGAGACGGGTGATGAGGATGCTCTCTCTTTTGGCCAAGACGCCGCCTGTTGCTGCTTCCGCCAGCTTGTTGCCAGGGGATACAGTCGTCGGGGAGTTTGGCGGAAGGCAGCAGGGATGGAGAGGAGTGACGACAGCGATGACATGACATGAGAGAGAGAGAGAGAGCTGTGTTTCTGTGGCTGATGCTTTTAATGGAAATACTTCATACAACAGAACGGTGAATCAATGCCAGTATTTGTTTTAGTTCGATGACGTGTTGTGCCTATTTTTACCACCTGTAAAAGCCACGAATTGAAAGAAAAAAACAATTACATCACAGATTCAGTATTTCCTTATCGCTTTTATTAGACTAAACTAATAAAGACTTTAGACTTTAACGGCCCCTCATACCCACGGTGAACCCACACAGGTGATTTTGATCAATATGGCAGAAACGGAACCATAATCGTTATTTGCGAGCAGCTATGTCCGTTATAGCCGTGTCACAGAGAAGAAAGTGACCTCGCAATATGTTTAATGAATTGAATCCAGTTCCTCTCATTCGACAGCCCTCAAAGGCCAAAGTTTGGCCTTTTCAAAACTACGCAAAGCAAAATGACAGCAACATGTTTGTGTGGTTTTATACAAACAAAAAGTAAAGGGCAACTCGAAATCCTTGAGAAACAGAATGTGTTATCAAAACAACTGGGGGGGCGCGGGTGAGACAAACGCATTGATTTATTTTGCTTGTTCGTTCTCTAGACTGAGTGTAACCAGCAGCAGTAACACACAACGGAACAACACAAAAGGCAGAGCCGCACCACCTAGAAGAGACACGCACCGTGACCTCTGCTGCACGAATCCTCCGCCGATGTAGTTTAGGCAGAGCGACATCATGTGTGTGTCCTCTTTGCTGTCACGTTTGGCTGCATGTCGCGAGCAGCGACGCGGTTCGTGGACCCCCCCCCGCGCCCCGGTACCAGAGCTCGGCATCAGAGCTCGGCACCGGGCGCTCGTGTGAGAGAACGTGCCGTTCTACACGGGCACACACACACACACACGTGTGCTGCACGCGCTCGTTGGGACCTCTTTGCGGCAAATACTCACCGGGGGGGGGGGCGAGTGGCGGGGGGGAGGGTTTCCTTTCCGATCCCCCTCGGTGTTGCTGAGTGACGGGGCTGAGGACCCATGAGCCATCCATCATTTACCGCCGGGTCACCGGACGCGGCCCTGACTGCCATGTAACGTTTGAGAGAATAACCCTATTTTACATAGGCGGCTTCGGGGCGGATTTAATGACACACGCATTCTTGCCACATCGCGCCAGACGGTGGTTGAAATAGATCAAAGTTATCAGATTATTTTGAAGGTGTGATCGCAAGATTTGGGGTTTCAGCAAATGATGACTCATTCCGTCTGTTGTAAACATCCACCACTGTGAGATATCAACTTTGAATCTGTACGAAACTTACAGTATGTTCACTCCAAATAAAGTGATTCAGATACGCGGGCGATATTTTTGACCCGTCATCAGCCAATAGTTTGACGAGATTACGACCTGTCTGATCGTCTGACAGCTAACGTCTTGCCCTGTTATCAATTACCAAAAGTCTACTTTTAATTATAACAAAGAAATATTCATTTTCTTTTGAAGGTGAACATTTGGCGACATGCGGGTGAACAGCGAGTCAACGTAGCAACAAAGTTAGTGTGTGGTTTTATTAAACCGGATTATTTTGATGTTATTTTCCAATCATTCCTTGCAATGTTTCACTGTGTTCTGATGATAATGTGTGTAGGTGTTTGCAATCTAACAAAAATGACAGAACGGAACAATATAGCCGTCAGCGATAGAGCCCCGCTGTTGTTTTTATCCCACGTCTTCCGGTTGACGTGATTTAGTTTGTTGGTTTTTGTCACGTTGGCGTCGGAGTAATGATTCAGGCAGTTGTGAAAAATAAAGTGGATCTGCATACATCAATTTGATCAAAACAAATGAGAGTTAATGTCTACGAGACATTCATGCAGAAGGAGGCAGCTGTGTTCTTGTGTGTGTTTTGTGCAGTAGACTGACATGAACCGGTTGTAGCTGCCAGTGAAATCACGGCTCCGCTGCTCGTACTGCACGCGTTTCTCAGATGTCAGATTCACACAGCGGCCCGATACCACAACACGCCAAATATCAGGAGTCTTCTGATCCGTCTCGCTGGTCACATCTCCGTGGTCAACGAAAGCGGGTTATGCAATCAGTCCATTTATATTTACCCCGAAAGATGAGCGATTGAACTTCCGCCAAGCTGCTTCTTACAGAGTTCAGGCTGCGGAGCCGAGATTTCTTTTAGAATAGACGAGTCGTCCCACATGAAGATTCATTTCGGAGTATGGGTGGAAGGTTACTGTGGCCTTGCGTCATGCCCCCCCCCCGAGCCGTGCTTATATCGCAGAGCAGAGTAGACTTGGAATGAAACTCTGAAGCAGAACGTTATTGACTTCAAAGAAAAATGATTTGACCAAAGAGATGGTGACGTGTAAATATCAACCTAAAAAAAAAACCCACTGTGTGCACTCGGTGCCTGTCACCCTGCGGTGGCTCAGAGCCCCTGGGATCAAAACACTCATCATGGACTTTGTAGGGAAGTTATTGTTTGACGAGTATTTAAAGCACACAGTGGTGCTGGTAGAGAGGAATGTGTGTGTGTGTGTGTGCGTGTAGGAAGGACACCGTGGTTACATGGGCACCACAGGGTTTCGCCTGTAGCTCCGTCTGATATTTATAAGTCATGTTTAATTCTGTCCCAGAATATTTTGGGAGGCTCCGTTGAGACCCCTGAAATAATACGTCTTGTCTTGTTCGTGATCTTTAAATCCCCTTCCGTTATTCCCCTGCCCGTCTTTGTCAAGCAATGGGATGGACGTTAGTAACACACCTGTCAGTTGTTGCCATACGGGTCCTGATTTTCATTCATGACATTAAAAATCCACCTAAGCTTTTTAACTGTTGTCTATCTTGGTCTCTTTCTATTCTCCCTCTGTGTCTCACTGAGTCGGGCTTTTTGTCGGAGAGGCTCATTCACTTGCAATCATGAGTCATTGTTAGTGTGGACAGCTGAGTCAAGCTTTGTCTCAGTGGGCTTCCTGGCCTCTGTGACCCCTAATCTGGTCCCTTTGTGTGTGTGTGTGTGTGTGTGTGTGTGTTGGTGTGTGGGTGGGGGAGTGCGGGGGAGTGTTAATGTGCCACAATTCTAACAGCTTTTCAGTCTCCTCTCTTTTTTTCTCCTGCATAATAATCTTCCTGATTTACTTCTCTGACACTTTATAGCTGATATTTCAATCAAAGAGCTGACGGAGCTTGAAGTACAACCCCAAAAAATCTTAAAGTACGTTTTTCTTTGCTTCTACAAGAAGATTAGGCAAATTGCAGGTTGAGGTTGAAGGGAGATCTGCATTTAACGTTGGTCACATATAACAGCCGTGGCCGCGATGTTCTTTGTTTTTCTGTGAGGTGTGGCTGGTGTTGCAAAGGCAAAATGCAAAATGTTACAAATGGGAGATTTAAAATGCCAGGAAAAAAAACATGCTTCAGCAATTATAAAATTACAATAATTTTAACACAATAGTGTGTTTGTGTGTGTGCAAAGTAGAACGTGTTCAATCCTATGCTAACGTGTTGGTTTGCACTTAAATCAAGTTGTCTTCTTTTCTTCTTGTAATTTATTTTCCATATAACACGGTAGTTGGGCAACACAGTCATTTCTTTTAGTTGGACTCTGACAACATGGTAGCACACAAAACCGGATACCTGGTGGTGAAACAATGTCAACTGAACTGGACCTGATTAAAGGTTAAAGGTCACGTTCTATTACAAAAAGGCTAATGCCAATTGACTTCATTCCGGTTCATATTGACAGCCATTAACATTTTTAATCACATTTGAAATTCAGAAATGTTCAGTGTTTGAGTGGGTTTGACTGCCCTTCTGTGTAAGCGGGAAAACAAGCGTTCTCCCTGTCGTGGACCCTCCTAATGAAGATGTAAATAAGTGAAGAAGACGCGTGGAAATGCTTCGATGGCCGATCCTCCTCTTTTCTCTTCCCAGGACATGAGGAAACATGTGATGATGACCCTCTTGGATACGGAGCAGTCATACGTGGAGTCACTACGCAGCCTCATTCAGGTAACGCACAACTACAGACTCTCACTCCAGCACACAGTTCACCTCAGATATTCTTACCTGTCTGGTCTAATAACAAGAACAAACATCGCACAGAAGCAGACGCATCACAGATTGCTGAGGATGTGAATAACGAATGTACGTAACAATGTTGTTACGTAATCTGCTTATTGCCATTGATCCTGTCGGGCTAATCTACTAACCCCATCACACGACTCGCTGTCGTCAGCATCATCGGACACCTGTCCCTTCGACAGCTAATAAACCACCACCTCAAATCTTTGCTGCTTCCTTCTCAGTCTCTCTCTCTGTGTCACACACACACACACACGCCATCACTACTTGTTTTATAACCTGTCACCGTTCGCTGTGTGTGGGCGAACAGCATGTGTGCTACCACACATCTGTGTGAAATATATGTGTGTGTGTGTGTGTGCGTGTGTGTGTGTGTGTGTGTGTATAGCCACAAATGGAATAATCCCGCGCTGTGTTCCCATGGCGACACAGGGAAAGTAAGTGTTACCACGGTGACTGCAACGAGAGTGGAGATCCCTGAAGGAGGGTCTCAGATGCAGTTCAGCTGAGACGGCTCTGCAGCAGCGGGGTCCGAAGTGGAAAACGGGACTTTTTTTAACTTTTTTTGTTTGGTTTTTGCATCAACGCTTAGAAGGGCGAAGGACAATTATATATATATATAGAAGAGAAAGTTTTTATTTTTTTAATTAATAATTATAATGAAAAATGTTTGTTTAAATATAATTTATATAATGAAAAACACTCAATTTAGATAAAATTATATATATTTGGGTGGGTTGACCTATGAGAAGGTTAATTGGCAGAACAATCTACATTAGTTAGTCAGGCCAAAATAAAACCGTCCTGATAAATCCCATGTGGACATTATGGATAATGTGTTTGTAACAACATTAATGTGTCACTCAAGTGATGGGTTGAGCACAGTTTGTTCTCATTATGACACACGCAGCCATCTCTCAATTTCCACACCCGTGTCACCTTCCTGTCCCTCTCCCCCTCTTTCTATCCGTAAAATAACCACGCAACTGTACAACACTTTTACCAATGAGCAGCAGTATGTCTTAATACCAGTTGAGGCACTGAAAACAAAACATACCCAACTTCCAACATACCAGATTTACAGATGAGCAATATCTTTTATATGCACTGACAGAGTATTACTACCATTCCCTATCTTATAAATTCAATTGAAGCAAAAAAAGGTTATACAGTATACTGGGATTTGTGGTTTTCTTAATCCTGCTGAAATGGGCACTGTCAGCAGAGGGCTCTGTGTATGGGGTAACAATGAGACACCCCCGCCCCCCCCCCCTAAAAAAGTAGTTTCTATATGGTGATATTAGGCATTCCTGACATCCACCATTATATAATCCCGCTCTGTAAAAGGAAAGCCTGCCGTAAGAACCGGAGCAAAATGTCACCACCAACGATACCATCCCTGTCAGTAATATCTAAATAATATCCAGTATTCACACCAATAAAAGTCATTCCATTGAACAGTAGAAGCAGTTTCCCTGGACAGCCAACGATGTGCATGTAATGACTTGAACTGGTCTGGATCTAGCGGCTCGTCTTGTCCCCTCAGGGCTACCTGCGTCCTCTCAAGCAGCCGGACTGCGGCTGCATAGTGGACCCTCTGCTGGTGGACGAGATGTTTTACCAGATCCCCGAGATCCTGGAGCACCACGAGCACTTCCTGGAGCAGGTCGCCGGCTGCGTGGGCCAATGGCACGATAGGCAGACCGTCGGACACTTTCTCATCCAATCGGTGAGTAGAGACGACGATGAGCGTCCGACAAATAAATAGACACCAACGAGTCTACCAATACGTTTTGAATTTAACAGATTTTATTTTAGATTGTGTAATCCATTGTTACTTTCTCTGTCTTACGTCTTCTATTGGTGCACACGAGTGGCTTAAAAGCCATTTAAAAAGCTTCACAAGGTGGATAAAAATGGAGAAATCCGTTTAGTTGTTGATTTTAAAGAGAACAGGTAACCAACGGTTACCATGTCACTCATTGAATGGTTTTATCACTGCTCTTCTCTGTGCAGTAGAAATGTGTTTAGCATGTGTTAACATTGTTGGCTTGTGTAGGCCGAGTGTGTGTGACACAGTGGCTGGTCGAGTGTGGGAGAGACTCTGGAAATTCTAAATGCTGTGTTGTGATACAAATCTCTGAATTACAGACGGTCTGTTTAGAAGATGCAGTGCACTTTGCTTCTCTGGGACAGTTTTATGGCCTAATTGTATATTTGTTTTTATTACCCTCGCAAGATAAGCTCAGTAAAGAACTTCAAATAAGGTTCGACAACAGCTTGTTTTTCAGTTTTGCAAAACTGCAGGATTTTATGCAAAGTATTTGTCTTTGTCATTATTCAAAAACATACAAGTTTAATACAGGTTCTTGTACACGTTTGAAGAGGTAGTTGCTCAGTCTGCAGGAGGTGGTTTAGGAACCGGTGGGTTGGCGGTTAAAGTCCCAGTACTACAGAAGTACCCCAAACTGCTCCTGTGTCTTACAATCGCTACCTACTGCTCATTATACTGGAATGAGATACAAACAAAGGCCACATTTGTGTGACAATGGAAGTTGATTCATAAGTTTGTTTATCATGTTTATATAAATGTGTCTTTTCTGATCTACTGAAGTACATTGAATTATACGCACACAATAAATTGAATAAATAAACATTCTTCCAAAGTGTTCTAAAGCATCATTGACAGCAAAGTGGACTACAGGGAAGATTTTTTTATTAAGAGACAGTCGGCAACACTGGTTTAATACTTGGTTTTCCCAGTGACCTCTTGTCGACCCATTTGAAGTTTCCCATGACCCGAGGGTCGCGCTCAACCTAGACTCTTAAAAACACAGTGCTCTAAAACATCCGTGTTGGACCGAACGTCAACTTTAAAGATAATGAAGTAGCTGAAATTATCTTATTTATTCTAAGAGTTGACATGGCATCAGAAGCACGTATTCCAGTTTCTTTGTGGACTAGTAGGCCAGTGTGGGCCCAGCTTTTGTTTTTTATTAGGCGGAGAGAAAAACCTCACCCCTCTTGCTATGGTAATGCCATTGTTGTCTCTCACAGCACTTCACAGCGTGAATGAAAGAGTCTCTCGCTGGAGTCGCAATGACAATGGCTAGAAATGCAGGAAACCTCTCAGTGACAGACGAGCGCTTGAGGACGTAGATTGAGGAAATGTAGCTGCACCTAAAAACTCAAATGTAGCATTAGCTCATCCGATCGCACTTATTTCAAGTCGATTGTCCATCTGTGAACATGTGCGACAACAGGGGAGCACAATGGAAAGAGAGAGAAAAGGTCTTATCTGGCGGTACTCCCCCCCGCCCCCCACGCTTCAGCTTTTAAACCCTCAGCAGCACATGTTAAGGCAGGCCTCGTTGGCGCAGTAGGCAGCGCGTCAGTCTCATAATCTGAAGGTCGTGAGTTCGAGCCTCACACGGGGCACATATTTTGGTTTCGTTTATGAGCATCCGGCAGATGCCGGTTTGCGGTATATGTTAGCTTAATTAGCTTATAGCTTAACGTGGTTACTTAACGAGGCTGAATTGCTTCTTTTTTGTGAATTTAGACCAGTCTGTCTGTGCTTGTAATCACAAGCGTGGAAGAGGGGAAGAGACTAGATCAGATGATGACACATTTAACAGTGTCTGACAGTACCAACATTACTTCCTTCTACATAAAATGTTCTCTCTCTGTTAATGTCTTTCTTCTCTCTTGTGAACAATCTGAAAGTTTCAGGCGTAACAAGGGTTCTAATGAACCTGGGCGAGCACCAGATGCAGTGCTCTACGGTGTTTAACAATGAATATCTTCCGTCTCGCGCGCACGCACACAGGTCGAGTCTTTGTATTAACAACGTCACGCGTGACCTCGGATGAACCCAGTCGAGAATCAGTTCCGCTGTCATCCCCGATATCAGTCCTGGAATCTTCTCACAAGATTCAGACTCCAGATCCAGGCAGCTTCCAACGTGGCAAAGCGATCCCTCTGCTACCGTGGAAACAGGCCGGGAAACCGTCCGCACGGTGAGGGGGGAGGTCGGACGGGGGCGATGACCTCAGATAACGGCGTAATAAACCAAACGGCGACGGATCAAAGTGACAAGCTCCAAGAAGCGTTTAACCGTAGACCAGCTTCTGCCGATGCCTCGGTGGTAGTCAGCCCAAGTATAAACGAGAAGACAAGAACCGACTGATCTCTCAGAAGACCCCGGAACTTAAATCCTGGCTGGGGGTCATCTGAGGTCACTCGTGACTGTGTTGGTACGAAGACTCGACCCTGCGCGTTGGTGAGGATCAACGTAGAGCTTTCTTATTGGTCCGTCCTCTTTCTGTTCCTGAGGGTGGAACACGGGGAGACGGACGGTGAAAGAGAAACGCAACATAAGAGGGTTCGGTTAGTTCATGACTCTGTGACGTAAAACACATCTGTGAACACTCGGCCGTTACTCTTTTTAGATTTTAGCACTTTCGGTCTCTCTCCCCCTTCACAAGAAAAAGCAGGTCATGGTGAATCATCTGTGTGTTGTGTGTGTGTTTGTTTGTTTGAGTGAATGAGCCATTCGTGAAAACAGTGGTAACCACTCCATTACGGCTCTCTTTGGCTGCTATCTTCTATTAACGGTGACAAATACACAACACATACTCGATGTTGCACCCATAATTAGTGCGGGTTGAACCAAAATGGCAACACAAGAATAGGCTTCTCCCATTTGTGGTATACAACAATGTATTTGGGGAATATGAATCACGGGAGGAGGTTTTTTTTGTGGAAAACAAATGAAGCTGTGACATTTATTACGTTGAATTTAATTTGTACAGAGTATGAGCCAAACTATAATTGTGATATTTTTAATTCATTAAAAAGTAGAGAAATTTGACTCCAAAACCTAAAAATATTTAAATGACTCAAACTGAATAAAGCAGCAAATCCTGATTAAATTATCAAAATAATTTCTCTTTATCTTCTTATCCATCAATTCCTGTGCTCTCCTGCTTTCCTCCAGTTCTCCAAAGAGACTCTGGCTAATATGTACTCAGCGTACATAGACAACTTCCTCAATGCCAAAGATGCCGTGAGGATTGCCAAGGAGGCCAAGCCGGCGTTTCACAAGTTTCTGGAGGTGAGTGTTGGACTCGCAGGACGTCCTGTTTGGTCCGAGCGGCTGCTCGCTTGTGTTTATTCGGAAAACTGAAAAAAAAGTTGAGAAGTAGTTCCTTGTTTGGCCTTTAACCAGCGATTGGAGCCTGACCGGTTCGTTATTGTCTGTGTTTGTGAAAGCATGTATTTAATTCAATTCTTTTTTTACCTAATATTTTTTACTTTTTTTCCAAGACATAACATTTTTCAACTTTTAAAATATTTTGACTTTTTTATTTTTTGACCTGGTTAAGTCAAGTTTCTGTGCATTCTCATTTGCAAATCGGATTGTTACAAAAAGTTTTCTTTCTCCGGTGACTCGGAGGATCTTAATTGTTTGAATTTGAATTGTTAAATGTGGTAAAACACCTCGATGTGCTGTAGTGTACCAGCAGAAATAAATGTATAGGAATAACGCAACCACAGACAGAAGAGCTGTGGAACCACTCTGTCCCCTTGTGGTGGAGACCGGTATTGCAACCCATATTGTTACATGCTCTTACTTGAGTCTCTTACACTGTCTCCATCCCTTCTCCTATCTTCAACCCAAAAGCAAAACATGCGTGAAAACAAAGAGAAGCAGGCCCTGGGGGATCTGATGATCAAACCGGTCCAGAGGATTCCTCGATATGAGCTGCTGGTGAAGGTGAATCATCTCAAGATATCACTGCCCAGGCTCCTCCTACGTTTAGTGACCAGGGGCTCATGGAGAGGGAGATTGATTCCTTTTGTGTTTTTGTTTTGTTCAAGGACCTGCTCAAGCACACCCCAGAGGACCACCCGGACCACCCGTACCTCCTGGACGCCCAGAGAGACATCAAGCGTCTGGCTGAGAGGATCAACAAGGGTCGCCGCTCCGCCGAGGAGGCGGAGAGGGAGGCCCGGGTCATCCAGGAGATCGAGGCACACATAGAGGGAGTTGAACACGTGAGATATATGTTGCATTAAAATACACAACTCAGAGGAGTTTGCGCGGTCGATTAATAGAGTGACTACACTTCACTGTTATTGTTATTCCTTATTAAGTGATGCTTTGTGTGTGTTTGTAATAGATTCTGAACCCGCAGAGGAAGTTCTTGAGACAGGAAATGGTCATGGAGGCGGTAAGAAGCACATTTTTTGAGTTTGCAAATATTTGTGGTACAGTGTGTACACTGATGTCCTGTTTGGATAAAATAAGTCAAAGTAAATGAATATTATATTGAATTAAAAGTGACCCAGAGCCCCGGTGGAGATTTTCTGAGCTGCTCTTCTCTCTTTTCTCTTTCGGTTGTAGAAGACAGTTGGCGGGAAGAAAGACCGCTCTCTCTTCCTCTTCAGTGATCTCATCATCTGCACCACTCTCAAGAGGAAGTCTGGCTCGCTGAGACGCAGCTCCATGAGCCTGTACGAGACACGCGCACCATCATAATACAGCTTCCATAGCGCACCACCCCTCCCAGTGCTGCACTGCAGGCCACGGTTCCTACAAGGTTGACCTTGTTTCTCTTTCTCTTCTTTTGCTGCTCATCTCAGATATTCTGCTGCAAGCATGATCGATACCTCCAGTAAATACAAGTTCCTGTGGAAGCTCGCCCTGGAGGACGTGGAGGTGGTGAAGAGTAAGGCTCCATTTGCAGATCCTGCAGATGTTTTTTTTTTCTCATATGGTTCTCGTGACCGCGTTTAACTTGTAATTCCTGCGGGGAACAAATAAGATATATATTATTGATTCATAAAAGAATAGATATTCTTTAGACAGTCCGTCTCATCAACATGATCTCAACATCTCTGCTTTAGGCTCCACTCAGGCAACAAACAAGGAGAACATCCAGAGGATGATCAGTCGACTAGACGAGGATCTCGGCACTCTGGGTCAGATCAGCAAACTGTCTGAGAACTTGAGCTTCCCACATCAGGTACACACACAGCATGCAAACAGCAGCCACATGTTCTCTTCACCACTTTGATTACTGTCTTCTTTCACCTGACACGTGGTATGTGGTACAACGCGTGACGCTCTGGGCCCGTCTCTCTTAGTCCCTGGACGAGGTGCTGAAGGACCTGGTGGCGTCGGTGCACAGGGAGCTGTCGGAGAAGCAGTCCCTGGCCTTCAGCATGACCTTCCTGCCCACAAAGCTGGAGTTCACCACGGCGTCGGCTGAGAGCAGCTTCGTCTTCGAGTTTGCGTCGCCTGACATGCGCTCCAACTTTGAACAGGCCTTTGAGGACGCCAAGAAGAAGTTAGGTGCGTAAACGACTGACTGTGGCGTAGCTTGTCGGGTACAGTGGACAAAGGAGGCGGCAGCATGCGGATGCCATTTTATTTATGGGACCTAAATGTAGGAATATCAAATACGACTTTACTACAACGATTGTTATCGTCAATGATTCTGACTGGCTTTCACTGGGCCTAAGAGTTACTCTATTTGATCTGTTGTCTATCATTGTGTTTAGCGATGAATAAGGACCAGTGGGACCCGGAGTTTCTGAAGGCCATTCCTATTATGAAGACGCGCAGTGGAATGCAGGTGAGCGCAGTGGAAAGTTTATACAAGCCACGTGTGCGCACGGATGATTAATCTCGTTGGAATGACGTCACACCTGCGGACAAGCGCTCTTTACAAAATGGACACAAGCAGTCGACACTCACACATTGTTCTTTGTACCCAGTTCTCGTGTGCCTCTCCCAGCCACAGCTGTCCCGACAGTGGCTGTGAGGTGTGGGTGTGTAACAGTGACGGATACGTGGGGCAGGTGAGAACATATTAGTGAATTGGTCCTGCAGCTTTCTGGTGGAGAACAAAAAACACAATTCGACTCTGGCATTTACAGCCTGACTGGTGATGATGGTGATGACGGTGGTGTTTTTTCTTCTCTCCAGGTGTGTCTGTTGAATATCAAGGATGAGCCCACAGTTGAGGCCTGTATCGCTGTCTGCTCAGCCAGGATCATCTGCATCGCTGCCGTACCTGGACTCAAGGGGAGGTCAGTAGAGGCGGAAATGCACACACACACACACACACACACACACACACACACACACACACACACGATTCATAATATGGGCGATTAACCGACGGCTCTTAACCTCGTAGGGAGCGAGGATCGGAGCCCGCCCCGGCCGCCGCCTCCGGTCACACCCAGCAGCAGCTCCACATATCCATCGGCCACTCGTCTCTGGAGCTCACAGAGCGCCGCGCAGGTTAGTCCGCCAGGGTTTCATCTTACCCTGTTGCCCCGCGTGTTTCTGTTCAATACTCATTTTCACGACGAACTGATGTTTTGCAGGACCAGCAGGGGCGGAGCTTGTTCCCTTTGACAGTGATGACACGGACGACGAGGATTCCCCCAGCCCTTCGTCGACCCTGCAGAGTCAGGCCAGTCACTCCACCATATCATCCAGCTACGGCAGTGAGTACAAAACATCCACTCCAGACACACACACACACACACACACACTTATTGTCCATTCATACTCTCATTTCCTCCTCTAAGATGACGAGGGCCCGAGCTCCAAGGACATGGCCACGGAGACCACCAGCAGCGAGGAAGAGCAGGAGTTCCCGGTGGCGAGCTCCTACGGCGCCCCGGGGGCGTCGGGGGTCGGCGGCGGCGGCGGAGGCCGCGGCCACACGGAGAGCGCCATGGACGGCCGCGCCATGCGCCGCTCCTCCCGGGGCTCCTTCACCAGGGCGAGCCTGGAGGACCTCCTCAGCATCGACCCGGAGGCCTACCAGAGCTCCGTGTGGCTGGGCACGGAGGATGGATGGTGTGTGTGTGTGTGATAGAAAACACTGTCACGTACACACAGCAACAAACCTGTACGTGTATTATTAGTGTACTGATGTCATCAGCTAACCTCCCATGATGCTTCTGTTCCCGTTAGCATCCATGTGTACCAGTCGTCGGACAACATCCGTAACCGCAAGAACAGCATGAAGATGCAACACTCGGCCTCCATCCTCTGCATACTGTGAGTTCCCTTCTGCTCCACTGCTTTGCCTTTTAAAGAGTTAGAAGATAAAAGGATGCGAATGTCTTTCACCTTGTGTACCTGACATCCCTCCTTTTTGTTTTTTTACCGCTTCAGGTATTTAGACAACAAAGTGTTTGTGGCGTTGGCCAGTGGAGAGGTGATCGTCTACCAGAGAGAAGCAGGTAAGAGAGGAGCGATCCAGTTTGCGTCTACACCGCCGCTCTGGAGTGGGGATGTCATCGTTCGTCCAGCTCGCTTCAACCACGTGTCAATATGTGTAATACGTGTTAACCATCTGTTAATATCTTCATCATACCCCGCAGGGAGTTTCTGGGACCCTCAGTCTTCTCAGACGTTAGTTCTGGGCACGCCCAGCAGCCCCGTCACCAAAATGGTTCCAGTGGGAGGAAAGCTGTGGTGTGGCTCCCAGAACCGAGTGCTTATTATCAACACAACCACCTTGGTACAAGAGGTGTGTAGAAGCGTGGGTGGTTGTGTGTACAAGGGGAGGGGAGGTGGCGATGCAGACGGAATTATCAGTGTGTGTGTGTGTGTGTGTGTCCTCTGTCGCTCTCAGCACTGGTTCCAGGTGGGCACAGACAGCAGTCGGTGTGTGACCTGCATGGTGGCGTACGGTCAGGGTGTGTGGTTGGCGCTGCAGGGAAGCGCTCAGGTCAAACTCTACCACGCTCAGACCTTGGAGAGCCTGACGGAGGTGGACGTGGCGCCCGCCGTGCATAAGATGCTAGCAGGTAAAACACACATGGGGAAAACGAGCACAGTACAAGTTTGTAAGAATATTATATTTCTTATAGCGGCTCGTTCATCCCTTTTTATTTCCCAATTTCAAAACATTTTCCCCGTCTTCTATCTCTGACACATTCACTGTCTCCCTTCATTCTCTACACTCTACCTCACCTGCGGCCTGTTGTCTCCTTTTGTCCTCCTCTCCCTTCAGGTGCGGACGCGATTATCCGACAGCACAAAGCCGCCTGTCTGAGAATCACAGCGCTGCTGGCCTGTAAGGATCTGCTGTGGATCGGCACCAGTGCAGGTATTTAATGTGTTTTCTGGATTTCTGTACGTGTACCTTTTTAAGGAATTCCTTCAAACCTCACAAAATAAATGCATTTGGTCCGAGGTCACAGTGTGCGTGCTAATTTAGTCAATTTCATACAATTGTCTGAAATGACAAAGTGATGTGATGACATGTAGTCCCTCTCTTGAGGAAAGGGGAGTGTGCGGGTTGTAAGACGGTGTTCTTCTGCAGGAGTGGTCCTCACGCTGGTGATCCCAGCAGTGAGCTCGGGAACTGTGGCCGGGACACTGAAGGTTCCCCAGGTGCCGATGGGCTCCGCTCACGGACACACGGGACACGTTCGCTTCCTGACATCCATTGAACTACCGGAAGGGTTCGACATGAACTTCCCGCCCACGCCGACGGACTCCACAGGTTTTACCATTACCACCTGGAATCCTCAAATCCAAAATTGGAACACCTGAACCAAAGTTTTCAGTTCGTCACTCCCCGTAACCTTTTTCATCCCCGCTCCCCGTTTCCTAGGCAACCAGTGTCAGAGCAGCAGCAGCGCAGTCGACGCGAACCTGCAGAGGCGGGACTCGGCGCGGCGCCGAGCCTCCGCCCACATCCCGTCGAAAAGCAACCACCTGGTCATATCCGGCGGCGACGGCTACGAGGACTTCAGACTCACCAACAGCAGCGAGACGGTGGGACGGGACGACAGCACCAACCACCTCCTGCTCTGGAAGGTCTGAGACCCCCTGGCCGGGGGAACGCCCGGCGCACAAGCTGCTGTCCTTTTCCCTGTCGGGCTCCTCGGGTCTTCGGTGTCGTTGTTTTGGTCTTCTGCTCAGTCCGCCGGTCTCTATGTGCGTAGCTTGGCTGCAAACTCCCTTCCCGGACTTTCTAATGGACTTAAAAGCCCGGTCTTTGGTGTTAAAAGGTTTCTGGTGGTGTGCGTATTTTTTTGTTTTTTTTTATCTGAGTGCTGTCCGTGCGTGTGTATTTCGTTATTTGTTTCCTCTGCAGGTAGAAGATGTCTAGAAAGGGGTCTTTGAACTCAGTCTTCACCGAAGAAGACCGAGATGGGGAGAAGGAACATGTCACATATGGATGTATGTTTAGAAGAAGAGAAGAACACGATGAGGTTGCACAGGTCAGCCAAGTGAAGCCAGTGCCGTTGGGGGACTGAGACATCAACCCTTTACTCCATCATCACTTCATCTAAGCCTGAACTGCAGAGAAAATTCCTCCTTGCGATCGTAGGTAAATGTCATGTAAAAACATATTAATAGAAACTAAGTGAAACAAAGCTTCACAGTCTGCAGTTTGATCCCGAATTCGCTTTCATTTCTGCAGTTCGCTTAATGTTTGTGTCCTTTTAAGAAGTTAAAGACGGCGCTGGCAGATCTTAGATCAGATATTTTCCCCTCTAGGATTGTTGTAACAACATCTCCGCTGTCATTGCCTGCAGACACCAAACTGCTAAAATGTTGAGGGAGATTAAATAAAACTGAAGTGTGGACAGGGTATCCAGCAGCACACATGCACACACACGTTACACACACAAACACACTAATGCACCGCCTCCTCTCACAAAATAGGAAGACATTTTCTTAATCAGATTTCCTTATTTAATTTTTGTTTGTAATTTTATGATGTCGTGAACAGAGTAGAAAAAGTGCATTGGAGACGTTCCTCCTTCACATGACTATGCCAAAGCTTTGAATGCGTTTCAGATTTGACGTGACTTTTTTTTAAAATTTGATTTTGTTTAGCAGAAATCAGGAGCTGAGGTCTTTGACTTCTGTGGCGCTGGGCTGCGGTAGCAGATAACGATAGTTCTGTACAGTATTTATGGCTTTGATTTTAGCGCCGTCTATTTTTCAGCACTTAATTTATAGAAGACGTAGTTTTCACTTTTTGTTTGAGTTGAAGAACAAGGACGAGGCCCCGTCTCCATGAGCACAGTAGAAAACGAAGCATAGTTTGGTTTGGGCAGACGGACACACACACACACACACACCTACACACATACACACAGAGTTAAAAGTCTCTCTCGCACAACAGTAGACATGTGTGAAAGTGAGAGGTGACGGATTAATGGGGTTGAGCAGTAATAGTTTTTTGATCTCTCCAAGCCTAGAAAACATCATTGCCATCATCTTTATCTTTGTAAGCGTAAAGGTGTGTGTCTGTGTTTCCGTGTGTGTCTGTAACATCTGTAGGAGCTCTGTTAAGTCAAAAGTACGAGGAAGGACATTGTGATTTTCTGCCCATCATTGAGGATGAATTACAGTTAGCGGGTAGTAGCATGTATAGAAGAACGCTCACCAATTCAAGCAGATGATGCAGAAAGAATTCAACATTTTGGGCCACACCGCTCTCCTCAACGAGTGGTATTCCCCTGTTCCCCTGACTTTAAGCGAAAAAAGTGAACAAGATGATTTCCCAAAATGTTCAATTATTCCTTGCAAGGTTAAGGTAGCAGATGGTGTGTTTTTTATGATGAATGAAACACAACAAAATCAATATTTGTGTTCTCGTTGCCATGGAAACGCTGTAAATGAATGCTGGCTGTAGAGAGCGTCACTGGATCTTAAGTGTGTTATTTAAGTTCTGGGCTGAAACCCAAACCGTGGCATCAATAACTTTCACTTCAGCCAATTTAGAAAGTTGGTTTTCTTTCACATCTGGTAAAATAAATTGCCTTGAGAATATATTTTTACATTAACACAGTAATCACATACATATTAATGACTGAATAATCATATCTTCAGCATCAGCAGCGCTTTAGGTTTTGAGCACAGCGTAATGATCTTTACTCTCTTCATTTTACGCACATGCAGGCATTCACTCGAACACGCCGCGTCTCAGATATGAAGTAAAACTCGCTTTTTTTTTCACCAGGATTTAGAGAACAAAACAGAAGATTTACACAACTTTTGCCGTCACATCAAACTCTTTCATCACTGTAACTCTCACTAAAGCTGAAGGTTCATGGCCGTATGTGAAATAAGTCTTTATTGTTGTAAATATTAGTATATATTGCCTTTTTTCTGTAAATAATGCACCTCAGTACTCAATTGTTGATATGAATCTAATGGCATATTTTTATATATTTGTTTAAGGTTTTGTTGTGTTTTTTTTTTCTCCCCTCCCTCCCTCCTCCTTCCTGGCATGCGCCGTCAGTGACGTTTAAATTATATCTGTCGTGGATCTTTTCAAAAGAAGACAAGAAGGGCCTCTGTTGTTACCAAGGCTACAGGTTAAAGCGTTTTGACATTGAGGTTTGAGGCCTTGAGGCCATGTTCGCTATGAAAATGTTTGCATCGTCACAGTTGTATGCAGGAAGGGGACAAAAAACAAAAACCTGGTCACAACTCTGTTCATCCGGCTCCGGTTGCAGTTGTCATGGTTACAGTGTATCAAAGTTACGGCCTGTATGTAGCTGTTCTTGTTTTGTCACTGTGGGTTCCTCTTTGTAATTAAATCAGTTCACTGGTGCCGGTTTGTGCCCGTTTTTTTCTTTATATTGTGAGGTGTGGCTGCCTTGGAATGATTTAAGATTTACTGATTACCTGCTGATTAACGCATCATATTCTAATATCTGCGCTTCTATAACCAGGATATGATTCTTAGGTGAACAAAACTGTCCGGGATGCGTGGGAAGGCAGGACTCAAAATGCAGACTTTAAACCAAAAAATAGTCAATAATTAGGCAGGAACGAGGAACATCCAGGACCATAGACAATGACGCGACCAGTGACAGGAGACACACACAGCTTAAATAACTAGGGAGGTGCAGGAGATTGGACACAGGTGGAAACAATCAGACAACACAGGGGATGACAGGACAAGGCAGGAAGTGAAGTTACCCAGGGAGACAAGAAGCAGAAAACTACAAAATAAGACAGGAAATAATACCACACCGTGACAAAAACATGACCAGGATACCCAGGAACAAACTCATAACTTAACTGATGTGTGTTCTTAAATGCTCACTTTCCGTAGTAAGTAGACGAGTCGATCAACAGTAAGTTAATTTGCAATTATTTAGAAAACTAATTGATTAATTCATAATCATTTCTTAACGGAACAATTGTAGGTTTAGTTTAGTGGGCTCTATTTACAGAAATTGAATGTAGTATTCATAAGTGTGGTTTCGTTAAAATACAATCATCTAAAAATATGAATTGTTGTGATTTTGGTACCGTAAATTATCCCTTTACATCTTCGGAGCAGGTTGTCTTAAAAAATCAGAGTTTCCCAGAATGAGCGACAAAATAAATAAAGCACTGGCTCTCGATGAGCATGTTCTCTTTTTCATCTGCTAAAGTAAATGAAATCTGTTGCAATCTGCAACATGGCAGCCAGATGCAGCCAAATCCTTCTCACTGGCTCCTTAAATATGCAAAATGTACAAATTCTCAGCAATTTGCTGCTTTATCTTCAGTGACTGAAAAAAAAACACCCTTTTAGCTTTTGGTTGGCTTAAATGTAAATATATTTTGTAATTACATTGTTCAAGTACATTGTTTAAACTGGTGAATAACTGCTTTTTTATCTATGTTAGTTCCACTGGGGGAACAAAACTTTTTGTAGTCACATAATCCTTGATATAAATGTCAATTTAAAGATTGTATTGGACATTTTCCTCTGTGGAACTGAGAGTGAAAAGCAAAAGTCAGAGATCCAACTGAAGGACCAGGGCCGCTCTTTAGTTCATTGTTTTGCAGGCTGTAATACAAATCCCCTTCTTGACCATACCAATAATACAATATTAAAAAAGGACTCAGATTTCATGATGCTTCGTCAGTCAGCAGCCATGACCATAATAGTTTATTGTGGAGGGGGGTTTATCTGCACACTCCAGTGTCACTCAACTAATCATTTCACTTCAGCCCACTGACTCCCATGATAGCCCTGCAGTGTATGTAGGGGAGACTATGAATGCAGGCTATTCAGGGCACACACATACAAATAAAGCTCCCACTCTCACACACACGTTGCATCCACCACACAGTATTCAAATGATGCATTAAACAGTGAAGATCTGTGTGACGACTGAAGGCAGCAGCACAGAGATGCATCTTTGTCACCAGAATGGCGGATTGACATCGTGAGTCATGGGCTCGCACTGACTACGCCCAGCGGAAGCATGCGGGCCCACGCGGGCCTCCCGATTATAATATTATATTATACCTATTTAGTGTGTGTATTTAGACAAGCCCCCTTTTGAAAAGAATGAAGAAAATAGTGGTATAAATGTCAAACAAATGGTCCACTGCTCAATCACTTAAGTCTTTCCCAAATCGGCCATGCAGGTCATCGTTAATGGTGTTAGTAGCACCTGTACTGCTATTTACAAACGTTTTTATAAACGTTACTACATTAAACGACCTGAATGAGATACAAATGAGGAGCAGTACAAAATAAAAAAGCATTTGATTTAAATCACATTTGGTCCAGACTTACTTCTCTCATAAGTTTGTGTTTGTATTTATTTTTGGATGTAATCTTGTAGATGATTTGTTTCATTTGTGACGTTTTGGGTACAACTAAAATGCACCTAAAGTGCACTTAAAGTACAACTAAAGTACAACTAAAGTACAACTAAGTGCACCTAAAGTACAACTAAAGTAAGTACACCTAAAGTACAAAGCCGATTGAGCGCCAGTTGTCTGGTCGTGAGCTGCAGTCCCTGCTGGTGAAAGACTACGGCCGACCGATGGGAATTTTACACGCACGCACGCGCACACACACACACCCTCGCGCTCGCTCTCTCTCTCTCTCTCTTTCTCTCTCTCTCTCTCTCTCTCTCTCTCTCTCACAGGAGTTTCATCTTGCAGCGGTGACGCACTGTGAGCTCACTGTGCCAGTTCAGTGTTTATGTCTTTTTTCACACACACACACACACACACACACACACACACACACACACACACACACACGCAGACAGAGTGAGAGAGGATCCAGAGAGAAGGGGAAACCTCGCTTACCGGCTTTGTGGTTTTCATCCATCTTCTTTTAAATGACACCTGCCAAGTCGGTGCAGCCGATGACGCTCGTCTCTGAACATTAATTTCATCTCCTTTAATTCACTAAAACGGTGAGTCCGACCGCTTTTCCTTTGTGCCTCTTTTCTGTCCCGTCGCAGGACTCTGAATGGCTGCTCTTGTCGGTAGTTCAGTCGCGTCAGTCGTTGCCGGCTCGTGTCGGATATTTGTCGCCACATAACCTCTCCAACCGTCATGACCACCTTTACGCACGTCGGTTAATCACGCGCGTGTCCTTCTGTTAGCGCGTGAGTTCTTCTGGGCTGCGGGACATCCGATGGCGCCCGCGGATACCTGACTTACATGCTTTTTGGACGAGTAGAGTCCCCGCTGCTTGTTTCAACGAGGGTTTTGACACCAGACGGGGACTTTAAGGGTCCGAGTGGAATATGTTGCCATAGCAACCCATTGCGGCTGCTTATTTCATTTATAAAAGTAACCAAGTACACGCTTGTAGGGGTTTGAGGATTTTTTGTGACTTTGATTGTTTAGATACTATTTTGCTCATTATATATACATATCTAGCCCTATGTCGTAATATTTGTATTCAATTCAACCATTCAATATGGTTATAATACCTAGAACCGCTGTGTCTCGTGCTGTCTGTCGGGTGACGAGTGGAAGCACGTTTTACGCACAAGGATACGTGATGACATCACAGCTAGCGTGATCCTCCCCCTCTCCTGACTCTGACACTGTGTTTGTGTTAAACAGCTTCATGATATCATGTACATACATCAAGGTCAGTTCAATTAAAGCAAAATTATTTCGGGTAAAATGTTACTTTTGTAAAGGCTTCAACACCACAGGCATCCAACTGCCTTTGATTTAAAAAAAATAAATAATCATGCAACAAATAAAGATACTTATTGCATAAGCATGTTGCATAGAGATAAAGGAACTGTATAAATGTCATTATAACAAATGCAGTATTTGTATGAATGGATCGCTTACACAATTTTCTCTGTGACACTGTCTCAAATGTTAAATTGAAGTTATGTCTTATCGCTTCACACCGCCGTGGTTTTGGCAGGATGTACCTCTGCACTGAGCAACCTAGGCGATGAGGACAGGCTCTCAAAGCGCGCACACACACACACAAGAGCACACACACACAAGAGCAAAGACAAGTCCTTTTTGGATAAGGGCTTCTGTTGTCTGAGACCAAATTCCTGCATGCTTGTATTAGTAAGAGTCTTTCTCTCACACAGGAGAAAATTAACACACTTCCACCAGAAGACGGTCATGCGCAGTTTCACTGGCTCGTCCCTCATATTAGTTTGATAAAAGCATTTTAAGGAAGGATTTCACAAGGTGTACAAAGATTAATGATCAGCACCTTGTTGTCTCGACACAGAGTCACTCACAAATCCTTTAAAATATTTGATGTCTGCTTTACAAATAGACAAACTTCCTGTTTCCTGTCAAGTGAATCCAACCTTTCTTGTGGGAAAATATATAGCGTGTGTGTGTGGATATGTATTGTGTGACCCGTGAGGGTGGAGGACAATATGTTCCCAGGCTTCTCTTGGTTTGGCCAGAGCACGATTTATCACACAAGTGGAGTTGGAGGGGACGAGAGAGGCTCAGTCCAGTGTCTCTCCTAAATGAACCCTTCTGCTTTTACTTGTCTTTTCTTCTACAAACAATACTATTAAATTCAAGTGTTATCATTACAATCTGTTGGAATTATTTGCATTTAAAAAATATGTGCATATGTGAGTTTGCATGACTTTATTTTGAGTATCATCAATACACAAGTTTTTGTGTAGTGTTTCCAAAACAGGATTTTCTCTTCCTAAACTGCAAGCAGCATATCAATGACTGAATTCAGATCAAACTGTAATTTAGTTGGTATGAGGAATGATCCCTCATTTGCTCAACGGATGTTAAAGTGGGGCAGACATCTGTACTTCATGCACACACGCACACGCACACACACACCCATGGCATAATTATATCATCATAAACCTTTTATTACTCTGCGCAAAAATGTAGGCTCCCCACCCATTCGTCTCATCTACCCACCTAAAATGTATTGTACGCTGAATGTATTAATTATTTTGGGAAAAGGCCAAGATGAAGAGAAAAGAAGAAAAGAGAAGAAGGGACTAAACGGATGAGGAAAATAGAGAGGAATGAGGGATGACCACAGATAGTCAGTCTGGAGCGGATAATAATCTCACATTCAGGGATTCTGAGCGTAATTTAACAGACTCAACTGTGTACATGTGGAGGTCAAAGACACAGCTTTAATTAGGCCTCCAATCTGTCATCCGTCAGTCCGTCCGCCCCACCATAGTGTCTGGGAAAGCCTCCAGACAGTCTCCAAGTCCCCGTGCCACAGGGACCTGCCTCCCTCCCCAATGTCAGCCAGGAAACTCCGTGCCAAGAAATTCCCCCGCTCCTCTGACCGCAGATCCATATCTAAGCAGGCCGAGCGCTGTG